GGATGGTCCTCTCTCCTGCAGCAGACACACAGGAGCAGGTTGGAGAGAGCAACATTTCATTGGATTACATTCCTTACGCTTTAATCAGAATCAGAATCAAGTTTATTGCCAGGTACGTTCACACATACAAGGAATGTGCTTTGGTATCTGGTGGTGTGAACACAAACAATGTAAGAAAATAAGTTGCAATAGTAGGTACAAAAAACGAAAATAAAGATAATCAAAATAAGTATTTTTAAGAAACAATTTTGCATTAAAAAAGTAAAGACAAGTATTTACACCACATTTTTATTTGTGCACCACTACCCCTACACACTACCCCTACACACTACCCCTACACACTACCCCTACACACTACCCCTACACACTACACCTACACCTACACCCTACCCCTACACACTACCCCCACACCCTACCCCTACACCCTACCCCTACACACTACCCCTACACACTACCCCTACACACAACACACTACCCCTACACACTACATACTACCCCAACACACTACACACTACCCCTACACACTACACACTACACACTACCCCTACACACCAGAGGTGGGACCAAGTCATTGTTTTGCAAGTCCGAGTCAAGTCTCAAGTCTTTGCGCTCAAGTCCAAGTCAAGTCTCAAGTCTTTGCGCTCAAGTCCAAGTCAAGTCTCAAGTCAGGATGGGAAAGTTCAAGTCAAGTCCAAGTCAAGTCCAAGTCCTAAACTTTGACAAAACGAGTCTTAAACAAGTCATTATGTGCTTTTCAACAAATGTAATGACATCGATCAACAGAACAATACTTAATAATCAAACTGCTCTTTATTAGTCACATTAATAATTTAATAATCAATTTTCTTTCTGCTGGTAAAGTAACGTGTTTGTCTTCTATTGTAAGAGGGATCAGTAAGGTAAGGCTACCGTGACGGTTTGATTCAGAAGGAGTTTAATGTATTAGATCCCTGATGTTGAGGTAACCAGAATGTTTATTTCCACTGTGTACAGCATGTTATAAGGGACCCACAATCTATCTTTATGCAAGGGATAATGTGCAGCGAGGCGTCTCTATGGGGAAAAGAACACCTGAATCTAGATCCCTCTGCAGGTGGTACTTTAACTGTATTTTGATGATAATACTTTTCTACTTTTACTTGAGTAACATTTTGAATGCAGGACTTTTTATTGTAACCGAGTATTCCTACACTCTGGTACTTTTACTCAAGTACAAGATCTGAACTTCTCCCACCTCTGGCAATAAATCCTGAGTGGTTACCAAAAAAAAACCCTGCTCTGAAGGTTATTTTCATTTTACAAATCCTGCACTCAGCTTTGCTTTCTCCAATATCATTGAAATGCAGCCAGATGCTGCTTCTTTTTCCGGTTTTCGCAAATTTTTCGCAGTGATTTGATTAATCAGCTTTGTGATGGAATAAAAAATGCACAGTGCATTTCCTTAGCTGTGGATGAGTCCACTGACACCACTGACAATGCTCAGTTGCTGGTGTTTGTGAGTTTTTATGATGAGTCAAAGGGGGAGTTTGTTGAAGATGTGTTGGGCCTGACGAACCTCAGTGGACACACAAGGGGGCAAGACATTTATAAAGCAATAATGGGAATGCTGAATGAAAGAGGGTGCAGCTGCCTTTATTCATAACTGTGCAGCTCTCACACTGCGACTCTGAGGGATCAAGCACAGACACAATAACAATGAAAACTGCTGCATACAGATTATTTTAGTTTTTGCAACCTTGTGTTAAGAATCTTGTTGCAATTGTTTAAAAGTTTGAATGACCGTAATAAACTGACCTTTGTCTTATTGAACATTTTCTTTGGACTTTTAAGATTTGTATTTGAGAACCCCTGGTCTAGGGGTATGGTCTAGGGGTATGGTCTAGGGCAGGGGTCGGCAACAGGCGGACCGCGGTCCGGATCCGGACCCAGACGCCGACCTATACGGACCCGGACCTATAATCAATACATTAATAGGGGATTTCAATTTTGACGGGGCGATTCTATTTTAACCGCTGCCGACAGGGGCGAAAGAGACGAGTGAGCGATACAGGGAGAGAAACACAGAAGAAGAGACGAGAGAGCGGCAGAGAGAAGCGGAGAGGAAAGTGAGTAAAGAGAATAATTATCGATACAGGGAGAGAAGCGGAGAGGAGAGTGAACAGGCGAGTTAGCAGCAGACAGGGAGAGACAAATAATGACACATGGCGCTCTCCAAGAAGAGGAAAGTGGACAGAGAGAACAGAGCTTTTAACCCTGAGTGGACGGACTCATTCATGTTCATCCTGTCCACTGGGAGCACAGAACCAGTGTGTCTCATTTGTTCAGAGACCGTGGCGCTCAAGCAGAATACAAAAATCAAGTAACTGTATTCAGCTCGCGTTATATTTGAAAAACGAGTGATCTGATTACAGTTACTTTCGTAAACCTGAAGTGAATACATTTTGGAATACTTATGGGAATTATAGGTGGAAAAGTTTCCTCATAAAATGTAATAGTCATTACCAGCAGAACTGTGTGCACACTGCACAGCGCTGCAGCGTGTCTGTGAGCGAGAGAGAGATGCAGCGTGTCTGTGAGGCCCCGCCCCCGCACGCAGATCAGAGAGAGAGATCTCTTTTAAAATATATTGAAAGTTAGAAACGGAGATGGTTCGATAAAATGTGCAAGATAACGTTTATGTAGCATTTCTTTATTGTCGAAATGATGACATTTCATAACGGGATCAAATCAAAGTGAATGGCCTGCTGCTGCTGAATGCATGGGGCAAGTGACTGGAAACAGTTTTAAAAGTTATTACGTCGTTTCAGATAATAAATAATAATGATAATTCATTCTATTTAGGGGCGCCTTTCAAAGCACCCAAGGACACCTGACATTTCATAACATATTCTAAGGAAAGGTTTAAGAGAGTACAAATAATGCAGTCCGGGTGATGTTTTTTTTGTGAGGTGCAGATGAGAGGGAGCTGTCCAGAATGACCCAAAGATGTTGTGTTTGAGTTGTGCTCTTGATAAGCCATTAAAACAGTAAAATAAGTGTCTCCTGTTCACCAAAACATACCTGTAACTGTATTCGGATTACTTTCAGAGCCATGTATTCAGTATTCAGTAACCGATTACATTTACAAAGTAACCCTCCCAACCCTGATTAAAAGTGCCAAAACCCCACTATGAGACAAAACACAAAGTGTTTGACCAAACATTCCCTCTCAAGTCAGAACTGAGGTCACAACAAATAAGCAGTCTCAGAGCCCAATATGATCAGTCCACCAGGATCAAAATTAAAACTAAATATGGTTCCAGGGCAGGCTAACCGAGGCTAACCAATGAGCACCTGCATGTGTGTATGAGAATGGCCCTGACACCATTTCAGCCCAGATTTAAACTCCTGGCAGGACAAGCTCCAGCTCAATTCTCGCACTGAATTAAAGAAAAGTGAGTGAGGGACTGCAATATAAGAGGGAAAGAAAGAGAAACTTTAAAACTGTTCAATTGTTATGATGTGTAAAGACTGATATTGTTCTATAATCGTCTGAAACTGTTAAGTCATGATGTGAAACGGTTAACAAAGCTATTTTATTTATTTCTCTATTTTATTTTTAAATGCAGCCCGAGAGGAACATTACACATATCCACAGTATTTACTGTATATCTGTATAGTTCAATGTTAATTGACAATAAATATTGTTGTTTTTGAATTGTACTTTCTTTATCTGATTGGCAGTCAGTTGTTGATGACATGCAGACGTTGATAAAGCTACAGCTACTTCAATATATATCACACTAATTCATAAAGCAAGTTAGACATTTTGATGTTCCGGACCTTTGCATGGGGACATTTTCTCTAACTGGACCTCGTTGAATTTTAGTTGAATACCCCTGGTCTAGGGGTAGTGTGCTGGGGTAGGGTGTAGGGATAGGGTCTAGGGCAGTGCTTCTCAAGTGTGGTCCGCGGACCACTGGTGGTCCGTGAGCGCCCCCAAGTGGTCCGTGAGTATATTGGTACAATTTCACATTTGAAATAAATAAATAAATTTAAGTTTTCCGCACTCTCGCGGGAATATCTCCGCAATGGAGCGAGCTTAAGTTTTTGATTGCATGATATAGCCCAGTGCAACACCTTCATCACACATGTTGCCACTTGTTTGTACCATTTTCAGGCGATTTGTAATCTGTTCTAGAGAAAATATGTGTTTTTGGATATTTGTGGAGTTAGGTGGTCTGCAAGTGTTTTTTTATTGGTTAAGTGGTCCTTGGTATGACAAAGTTTGAGAAACACTGGTCTAGGGGTAGTGTGTAAGGGTAGGGTATAGGGGTAGTTGTTAGGGGTAGGGTGTAGGGGTAGTGTGTAGGGGTAGTGTGTAGGGGTAGTGTGTAGGGGTTGGGGTAGTGTGTAGTGGTAGGGTCTAGGGGTAGTGTGTAGGGGTTGGGGTAGTGTGTAGTGGGTAGGGTCTAGGGGTAGTGTGTAGGGGTAGTGTGTTGGGGTAGGGTGTAGGGGTAGTGTGTATGGGTAGGGTGTAGGGGTAGTGTGTAGGGGTAGGGTGTAGGTGTAGGGTAGTGTGTAGTGGTAGGGTGTAGGGGTAGTTAGGGTGTAGGGGTAGTGTGTAGGTGTAGGGGTAGTTAGGGTGTAGGGGTAGTGTGTAAGGGTAGGGTGTTAGGGTTAGTGTGTAGGGGTAGGGGTAGGGGTAGTGTGTAGGTGTTGTGGGTAGTGTGTGTAGTGTAGGGTCTAGGGGTAGTGTGTAGGGGTAGTGGGTAGGGTGGTGTAGGGGTAGGGTGTAGGGGTAGTGTGTAGGGGTAGTGTGTAGGGGGTAGGGGTAGTGGTAGGGTTGTAGGGGTAGTGTGTAGGGGGTAGTGTGTAGGGGTAGTGTTGTAGGGGTAGTGTGTTTGGGGTAGGGGTTAGTGTGTAGGGGTAGGTTGTAGGGGTAGTGTGTAGGGGTAGGGTGTAGGTGTAGGGGTAGTGTGTAGTGGTAGGGTGTAGGGTGGCGGTTTGGAATTGGGCCATTATGTGAGAGCGCTGACCTGGAAGTGGATCCATCCGTCCAGAGTGATGAGTCTCTCTCGGTGCTGGATGTCGATGTCTCCTCCGAACAGCAGCAGAGGGAACGGGGGGATCAGAGTCGTGTCTCTCAGGTAGATCTTGGTGTATTTCACCTGAGGACCAACATTTAATTTTGTCTTAATGTACATTATTTAATTTCATATTCTGTTATTGTACATATCATATTCTATTTACATGTATACAGACCTGGGAAGTAGTGGAGTACAAATACTTGGTTTCTGTACTTAAGTACATGTTTCTGGTATCAGTACTTTACTCCACTACTTATTTTTCTGACGACTTTTTACTTTGACTTCTCAGGTCAGAAGAATTTAATTGCCATTTCTACACTACACTATTTGTTGTTGTATATTCTCAAATGTATCGTCTGTCACTACATCTTGACCCTGGGATGTGTACCTTCTCCTGGTAGAGCAGCCAGCCGTGTGTCTGCAGGTTTCTGTTCACAGAGGAGGGGTGGACCTGAGCTCTTCCCTGAGGGGTCTCCGTGTTGCACACCGCCCGCTCCAGCACGTCCACGGAGGGAATGACCAGCACGCGGGCCACGCTGTCGTACAAACCGGCCGCCAGCACCGCGTTCAGAACCGAGATCTGAGGCTTAGAGAGCGCTGGAGCCTGCAGTCTGGAGCGAGGGGAGTAGAAACCCACCTGCTCCATCATCCTCATCAACTCCTGCTGCACCCCCTGCAGGAAGAGGAGATATTACAGTGTGTGTGTGTGTGTGTGTGTGTGTGTGTGTGTGTGTGTGTGTGTGTGTGGTGTTTGTGTGTGTGTGTGTGTGTGTGTGTGTGTGTGGTGTGTGTGTGTGTGTGTGTGTGTGTGTGTGTGTGTGTGTGTGTGTGTGTGTGTGTGTGTGTGTGTGTGTGTGTGTGTGTGTGTGTGTGTGTGTGTGGCTGTATGAGGAAGGGAGGAAGTCAGTTAAACAGTGTGATGTTCAGGAGGATATTGAACACTTCGTAAACCTCAGGCGAGTCGACGACAAACCTCCAGGTAATCAAAACATAACACTGTTAAAATATTGCTACAGATATAATTTCACATACTGCTATCAGAAATAATGTATTAATTTATTCAATTCTGGTGTTAATTCAACATCTTAACAGAGGACACATTTAGAACTTAGTTATAGTGAATTATCAAAGACATTCTATTTTTCTATTAGTGTTTTATTTCCATATAAGAAGGTAGCCAGGGCCGGTCATTAAAGGAGGCGATCCAGGAAGCCTTCGCTCTCTCAGACCTGCTGCTGACTCCAGAGCCTCTTTGTGGTCTCTGAGAGATTTGGTCATTATTCTGTCTTCTTGTTGTTAGTATTGTTAAATGTGTGTGTGGTGGGAAGTGGAGGATTTGGGTAAGTTTGGGGTACCCTCTACCTCTCCTCACGTAGGTAAACTCTGATAGACCCCGTCCACACGGAGACGATATCAGTGGAATCCGCTAACGTTCTCTATCGTATAGAGACGGTTCGTCCACACGGAGCCCGAATCCGATAGCCCTGTGATAACGGCTCCCAAGGTGGGTAGATCTGCGGACGAAACGCTCTGGGGGGCCAAACGGCTCCGTGTGTACGCCCTATGCGATAATTTCCTGATAACGATGACGCCATAGCCCCGCCTCTCCCCACCTCTCCTGCTCACCCCTGCGTCACCCGCGTCATTGCTGATGTGTTTCGCCAACAACAACAACAACAATGGCGGATCAAAGGGTTGCTTTCGTGCTCCAGACGCTACTGACCATGCTACAGATGTTAGTGCAAAACCTACAGCTCCTCTACCACAACCATCAGCAACAAGTGGACATGGAGAACTACATGAACTACATGTTGCTAAATCCACCGCGGAGAATAAACAGAAGGGCAACCAGGCAACCATGGCAACCATGCTCGGGGGGTCTTATTCGCTGCTTTTGGTGTATTTTGTGGCGGAAGTACAGCGCCACTTACAGGCCCGGCATATGTACTACAGCGTCTCCAGCGGGTCGAGCGGTCTCGTGTGGACGGAAGACTTTTTTGATATCGAATTCGGTTCGTTTTCGTATCCGTGAAGACACACTAGGTTAGTAGATTGTTGCACCCTGTAGTTGTTTTGTCTCCTTGTTAGTAGAACAGATCGTGAGAGCTTTTTGTTTGAGTTTTTTTATAATCATTTATTTAATTTGGCACAATCTTCTTTGTCTCCTCACTTAAAGAACATTTGTTGGCATTTTCCTTGGTGTAAATAAATAAACTTGTGTTCACTTTCACCCTGACTGTTGTGTGTTACTGTCTCCATTTCCCCTACACTTTATTAGGGATGGAAAACACACATATATATATATATACGATTCTGAAAAGGGCCATAATGCATAAGGAGTACTTTTGCTTTTGGTCCTTTAAGTATATTTTGATACCAATGCTTTTGTACTTTTACTTGTAACAGAGTCTTTTTACCCCGTAGTATTTCTACTTTTGCTTTAGTAGAATATCTGAGTACTTCTTACACCACTGCCACCATGAATGTGGAGCTGTGTGCTACAAAAGCCTGAAGTTAAAACAAATATTTTACAGCTGAAGACTGTTTTCAAATGTAGAGCAGGTTGTGAGCGAGGCTCCATTTGTAAATGAGGAGACAGGTCAGAGTGTCTGCTGCTCCTCCTGGAGTGACTCAGAGTTTGATAAGCCCTCCCTCTTCTTCCTGCTCTCAGACACAGCCAGCTCCACTCTGTACTTCCTGGTTCCTCCCCTTCAGATCCACACTGAGGAGGAGGGGTGTAACCAACATGTGGGTAAAGTCCAAGAGCTGATAGGCCACATTCACTGCACACACACATGCTGTTCAGATCACAGCTCACATAGTTTCAGCTCTCAGGAAGTGAAACTCAGACACTCGCTGCTACTGAGAGGTGAAATGGCGCAGAAAGGAGTTCAGCTGGACCGGGAAACCTTCTCTTGTGCGATCTGTCTGGATCTACTGAAGGATCCGGTGACTATTCCCTGTGGACACAGCTACTGCATGAAGTGTATTAAACACCACTGGGATGGAGAGCTAATCCACAGCTGCCCTCAGTGTAGGCAGAGCTTCACACCGAGGCCTGTCCTGCTGAAAAACACCATGTTAGCAGCTTTAGTGGAGGAGCTGAAGAAGACTGGACTCCAAGCTGCTCCTGCTGATCACTGCTATGCTGGAGCTGAAGATGTGGCCTGTGATGTCTGCACTGGGAGGACACTGAGAGCCTGTAAGTCCTGTCTCGTGTGTCTTGTATCTTACTGTGAGAAACACCTCCAGCCTCATTATGACGTAGCTCAATTAAAAAAACACAAGCTGGTGGAGCCCTCCAAGAAGCTCCAGGAGAACATCTGCTCTCGTCACGACGAGGTGATGAAGCTGTTCTGCCGCACTGATCAGCAGTGTATCTGTTATATCTGCTCTGTGGACGAACACAAAGGCCACGACACAGTGTCAGCTGCAGCAGAGAGGACTGAGAGGCAGAGAGAGCTGGAGGGGAGTCGACTAAACATCCAGCAGAGAATCCAGGACAGAGAGAAGGAGGTGAAGCTGCTTCAGCAGGAGGTGGAGGCCATCAATGGCTCTGCTGATAAAGCAGTGGAGGACAGTGAGAAGATGTTCACTGAGCTGATCCGTCTCATGGAGAAAAGAAGCTCTGATGTGAAGCAGCAGGTCAGATCCCAGCAGAAGAGAGAAGTGAGTCGAGTCAAAGAGCTTCAGGAGAAGCTGGAGCAGGAGATCTCTGAGCTGAAGAGGAGAGACGCTGAGCTGAAGCTGCTGTCTCACACAGAGGATCACAACCAGTTTCTGCACAGCTACCCCTCACTGTCAGCCCTCAGTGAACCTACACACTCATCCAGCATCAACATCCGTCCTCTGAGCTACTTTGAGGACGTGACGGCGGCCCTGTCAGCAGTCAGAGACAAACTACAGGACGTCCTGAGAGAGGAATGGACAAACGTCTCATCGACTGAAGTGGATGTTTTACTGTCAGCAGCAGAGCCCACCACCAGAGCTGGGTTCTTCAAATATTCACAGGAAGTCACTCTGGATCTAAACACAGCATACACACATCTGTTATTATCTGAGGGGAGCAGAAAAGCAACAGTCATGGGACAATATCAGTCTTATTCTAGTCACCCAGAGAGATTCACTGGTTATCCTCAGGTCCTGAGTAGAGAGAGTCTGACTGGACGTTGTTACTGGGAGGTGGAGTGGAGAGGGGGAAGAGTTTTTGTAGCAGTCGCATACAAGAATATCAGCAGAGCAGGGAATGAAAGTGTATTTGGATTCAATGACAAATCTTGGTCCTTAGATTGTAACCAAAACAGTTATTCATTTCTTTACAACAGTATCAACACTCCCGTCTCAGGTCCTCTGTCCTCCAGAGTAGGAGTGTACCTGGATCACAGAGCAGGTGTTCTGTCCTTCTACAGCATCGTCTCTGAAACCATGACTCTCCTCCACAGAGTGCAGACCACATTCACTCAGCCGCTACATGCTGGAGTTCGGTTTTGTTGTGTAGGAGACACAGCTGAGTTTTGTAAACTGAAATAGCCTGAAGTCATTTGAGGAACTCCTCTACTTCTTAAACTCACTGTGTGTCCATCATTGTTGCTGAGAGCTGATTGCTCATGTCTTCACTGCACAGAGATCAGCTGTCAATCAAACATGATGGGATGTGCTTTAACATCTTCTCACGAGTTGTTCTGTGTCGTGTTAAATGATCATATAATCATTTAAAACATATAGTCTTATACTCTGATTGCCTTTTACTCTGTTCAATTGTATTTGTAGTCTTGTATGTGTTTAACAGAGACGTGTGTTCATGATTTAAAAATGTGTTGAATATGGATATTGATGTATTTGTGTGTTGTTGTTTCTCTTGTAAAGTGAGTCTTTAGAGAGAAAGCACCAGAGCTTCTTTCATTGGAGATATTTGATTCTAAAGGTTTTTAATTTGTAACTAAGTCTAAATGTGTTGAATGCATAAATGAAAGTTTGAATAATGCAACAAAACAAATTAAAAGAAAAGTCATAATAAAGAACAGCCAACAGGTCGAGTGCCACATGTCTGTATATTTTGTAATGTTGGGGTTTTTCTTGTTAATAAAAGAACTAAAAGGACAAAAGTGAAAATCTCTGTCTTTTGCTTTTTTTTAATTATAAATATATAAATTATTTTTTTGAAACAAGATATTTTCATGTTTTTATATATATTTTATTTATTTGTAGGATTAAGAAAAATCAGATGAAACCAGAGCTGAAAAAGGTGAACTTGTACAATCTGAAAAAGGCATCTCTTGCTAAGATCAATAATGGAGCCTGAGGCTGGTGAGCCGTTTCTCCAGCAGCAGCAGTTTGATGTCAGACCGGTCCGACCGGAACAGGAAGGAACTCCTGCGTCACGTTGGAAACCTTAAAGTCACACAGGGAACATTGAGCTTCTGTTCTTCTGTGGGTTTGTTTGGAGTCTAATGTAAGAGTATAAAGCGAGGTGTGTGTGTGTGTGTGTGTGTGTGTGTGTGTGTGTGTGTGTGTGTGTGTGTGTGTGTGTGTGTGTGTGTGTGTGTGTGTGTGTGTGTGTGTGTGTGTGTTACCTCTATGGTGATGAGAGCAGTTTTGTTGAGGAAGTGTTTCCTGCAGTACGATGTCTCTGCTCTCTGTCCGTCACTCTGAGAGGTCTTCCACCTGACAGTGAGACAAGACATCTCATTTCATATTAGATTGTTTTATCTAATCTTATATCTATATATTCTCGCAACATCATGTCTTTTCCAGCACTTCATTAATGGTATTTTCTCTTTTATGTCTTAGGTATATTGTATATTTTCTTTTTGGAGGTGCCTGAGACTTCAGATTCAATGCCAAAACTCTGCTGTAGCTATTGTGCATATGACAAATAAAACGTTTGAAACCGATCATCAGAAAGCAGAAGGAGATGATTTGCTTAACAGGCTCACGCTGTGTTTGTATAAGTGCTTGCTGGATAAATATCATATATTAACGGTCATTTTAATATATTTTCAGGACCTGAGGGTAATCCTTATTGATGATCTGTCCCCTGACAAAAAGCTAACTACTGATAACATATGAAGCTTAGCGTAAGTTAAATCAGGAAGACTGTCTCTATATCCCGTCATTCACATATTTCTATCTCCCCTCTCCCATCAGCCATTATTATCACCTTTGTCTCTATTTACACAAGCCAATCAGAGCGCATCGTCACATCTTTAAATCTGCTCTCTCCCCTCCTGACAGCTGTCATTTACCTCCGCTCAACTGGGTCTAATTTCTCTCTAGTTTATCAGTAAATGTTTTGCACGGAACTATTAGTAAACAGCGTGTTTCATGACGGACACACACAGCGTTGAGTCGGTCAGGTAGAGCAGCCGGTGAAGTCAGGTGATGCAGACTCGCTGTTTGAGGGCTTGATAACCCACTACCCCTCCACACTCGTGGGTTTGGAACAGCGCTTAATGTGGCAGACCCTCCGCGGGAATGGAGGGGTAGGGTGTAGGGTTAGGGTGTAGGGGTAGTGTGTAGGGGTAGTGTGTAGGGGTAGTGTGTAGGGGTAGGGTGTAGGGGTAGGGTGTAGGGGTAGGGTGTAGGAGTAGGGTGTAGGGGTAGGGTGTAGGGTTAGGGTGTAGGGTAGTGTGTAGGGGTAGTGTGTAGGGGTAGGGTGTAGGGGTAGTGTGTAGGGGTAGTGTGTAGGGGTAGGGTGTAGGGGTAGGGTGTAGGGGTAGTGTGTAGGGGTAGGGTAGTTAGGGGTAGGGTGTAGGGGTATATATATATATATTTGTATATATATATATAATATCTGCATGTATATTTTCTATTTCGACATGTATATTTTATATTTTATATTTTTCTTTCTATTCTTGTATATTTTGTAGTTTTGTTTTATTGTAACATGCCTTTTATGCTGCTGTAACGACAACAATTTCCCAATTTGGGATCAATAAAGTACTATCTATCTATCTATCTAGTGTGTAGGGGTAGGTGTAGTTAAGGTGTAGGGGTAGTGTGTAGGGGTAGTGTATAGGGGTAGGAGTAGTTAGGGTGTAGGGGTAGTGTGTAGGGGTAGTGTGTAGGGGTAGTGTGTAGGGGTAGTGTGTAGGGGTAGGGTGTAGGGGTAGTGTGTAGGGTTAGGGTGTAGGGGTAGTGTGTAGGGGTAGGGTGTAGGGGTAGTGTGTAGGGGTAGTGTGTAGGGGTAGTGGTAGGTTGTATGGGTAGTGTGTAGGGGTAGTTTGTATGGGTAGTGTGTAGGGGTAGGTTGTATGGGTAGTGTGTAGGGGTAGTGTGTAGGGGTAGTGTGTAGGGGTAGTGTGTAGGGGTAGGGTGTAGGGGTAGGGTGTAGGGGTAGGGTGTGGCGGGCGGTTTAGAATTGGGCCATTATGTGTAATCGCCAAACACTGTTACATTCTTCTGTGTATTCTTGGCAATAAATACATACTGTTGAATCAAAACAAAGTCTCTCCTGATTGAAATGGAGCTGTATTGTATTTCCTCTCTGTACAGTTCTCCTGTACAAAAATAGACGAAATCAAAGTATAAATGCAAACCCGAGGTATGCGTTGTCGATGGTCAGGTGATCAGAGTTGGACACAGCGAGCGCAGCTTTAGCGAGGTTAGCTTCCTCCTTCCTGTTCATCGGCGTGGAGAACGGAGACTTCTCTGAGATGGCTGCGGCGATGGTGGCCTGAAACAAAAACATTATTATTACAATAATAACAATCAATGTTTATTTATATAGCCCAATATCACAAATGTTACATTTGTCTCAGTGGACTTCACAGTTTGTACAGAATATCAGTATGACAAAACGACACCCTCTGTCCTTAGACCCTCACATCGTACAAGGAAACACTTCCAGAGAAACCCCACAGTTTAAAGGGGAACATGGGAGAAACCTCAGGGAGAGCAACAGAGGAGGGATCCCTCGCCCAGGACGGACAGACGTGCAATAGATGCCGTGTGTAAATCAAAGAGATAATACATTTACAACATAGGTAGACCAAATGTTTGGAAATGCATGTGTCTATAATAAGAAGATGAATCCACGAGGATGTCAACAATCCTGTGGGAGCCATCAGGGAAGTAGTATGATGAGAGTCAGGCAGGACCGCAGAGACAGGTTCAGCCACGACTCAGGATGCAGGACTCAGGATCCAGGACTCAGGACTCAGGATGCAGGACTCAGGACTCAGGATGCAGGACCACAGCAACAGGCACAGCCACGACTCAGGATCCAGGCTCGCAATCCAGGACTCAGGACATCACAGTTTCTTAAAAAGACCCTATTCTACATATTCATTCTTCTATTCATACATTAGTCAACCAGTTAGACATGTCCCGCCCCTTAGCCTCCCTTAGCCTATCACGTACAATGTGTTGGAGCGCTAGCCAATAGGAGCGCCAGGTGATTTTCATATTTTTTGACAGGATTCATTTTCATTGATGTTGTTTTAATACTCAAGAGACAGAAGTGCAACACACCCCGTCTTCTATAAAGTATAAATTAATGTATTTATGTAATTTAAACATGCAAACTGAACACAAGGTACTTTTATTGTGTGTTATTTATGCTAAAAAGTGAACTCAAAGTAACTGAGAACGACTTTTAAAAGCAGAGTTTCTCCCCAATCTGTTGACAGCTGTTCTTAATTCATACAAATATGGAAAAACAGACCACCTGCCTCTCAGGGAATCTGTATTATGGTCTTATTGCATATTTACCTTACTATTATTCTCAGATCCCACCTGCTTCATTTTGTCCATCAACACCACAACACAGTGAAAGGTTGAGATAAAAATGTGTACAGTTTTATTTCCACATTTGGCAACATAATCGTTTGTTTTTGCATTTCATATGATACAGTCCTCCTCAATGTGAGTCAGAGATCCCGGTGGCATCAGTTCATCTTTAAAGAGTCCCCAGGTCCTTCTTATAGGGAGGACAGGGGTCTGGTTCTGGTTCTGGTTCTTCAGGGGCATTCAGACTAGTTCATAGGTCACTCAGATCTAATCAGATCCAGGATCATCTGGATGGTCCTCTCTCCTGCAGCAGACACACAGGAGCAGGTTGGAGAGAGCAACATTTCATTGGATTACATTCCTTACGCTTTAATCAGAATCAAGTTTATTGCCAGGTACGTTCACTCATACAAGGAATGTGCTTTGGTATCTGGTGGCGCAAACACAAACAATGTAAGAAAATAAGTTGCAATAGTAGGTACAAAACCTAACTACCCCTACACACTACTCCTACACATTACCCCTACTCCTACCCACTACCCCTACACACTACCCCTACTCACTACACACTACCCCTACACACTACTCCTACACACTACTCCTACACACTACTCCTACACACTACTCCTACACACTACTCCTACACCCTACCCCTACACACTACTCCTACACCCTACCCCTACACACTACTCCTACACACTACCTCTACACACTACTCCTACACCCTACCCCTACACACTACTCCTACACCCTACCCCTACACACTACCGCTACACGCTACTCCTACATTTTAGGTAGGAAAGAATGACATAAAGAAAGCTATGATTAAATTGGTAGATTTTTGAGAAATAGCTTTCGAATTAAGGAAATTAATTGAATTTTCTATGAGATTAATAAGTGATAAAAACCCTGGAATATTGTGGATTTATTTATAGTCAACGAACCGCATCGTTTCAGTTTGCAAGGTTGGATTTACTTCATCAAACCACAGAAAAGATGTATTTAATTTTTCTCGTAAATGTACAATGTTCATCTCTTAGCACCAGATATCCTTATCGTAATATAACCCCCTTTGCCCGGCTCCTTAAATAATCATTATTTTACCAACAATGGTCCTTATAGGCTGTTTAAAATGTGTTGTTTTGTGACGCTTCAGTTTACCTTCAAGATTCATGCGGGGGTTCTCCAGCTTCTTCTCCAGCAGAGAGTCCATCAGCTTCCTCAGGTGTTTGAAGATCACTCCGATCCGTACCGGAGCCTTTAAGGAGGAACAACACGGGGATTGAGTTAAATAAAACCTGGAAGAAGTTTCATTTTGTTGGCCTAGAGGCCCAATCCCAAACCACACCCTACCCACTCCCCCTCAGTGATGGAGTGAACTCCGTCTGTAGTATCACGCGCAGCTGAACGAGGCTCCCTCCTTTCAGATGGAGCAGGAGGCTTTTGGGATAAACTGCCCTTTAAGTTAATAGAGTTGTTGATTGATTGATTGATTGATTGATTGATACTCCCCTCTCTCCGGCAGAAACAGGAAATGCCGTAACTTTTCGTAACAACGGTTTCAAATCAGCATCTCTTGGATTAAAAAATAAAACTCAAAACATCTTTAATGGTGTTTCTTTTTGTAAAACACTTTTAGTTTTAAAACCTGATGTTTATAAGCTTCTTATTTTTGCAACAGTCGCTGTAAATGTACACAACTTGATAATAAAATGCACACTTTTACCGTTTTCCAGACTAAACACTGGGTTATGATCCTGAGTTCAAAACAATACGAGGTAACATGAAGTTGTTAACATCTGTATGACGATATTTAATGTCTATCTTGTTGTGCAGTTTATCAGTTAATGTTTGCAGGAACTATTTGTAAACAGCGTGTTTCCTGACGGACACACACAGCGTTGAGTCGGTCAGGTAGAGCAGCAGGTGAAGTCAGGTGATGCAGACTCGCTGTTTGAGGGCTTGATAACCCACTCCCCCTCCACACTCGTTGGTTTGGAACAGCGCTTAATGTGGCGGACCCTCCACGCGAACGGGCAAACGGAGGGGTAGTGTGGAGGGGTAGGGTGTAGGCGTGGATTGGAGTTGGGCCTTTGTTTGAGGGCTTGATAACCCACTCCCCCTCAACACTCATTGGTTTAGAACAGCACTTAATGTGGCGAACCCTCCACGCGAACGGAGGGGTAGTGTGTAGGGGTAGGGTGTAGGGTGTAGGGGTAGTGTGTAGGGGTAGTGTGTAGGGGTATGGTCTAGGGGTAGTGTGTTGGGGTATGGTCTAGGGGTAGTGTGTTGGGGTACCGAAAACCACAACTGTATCTGGACTCTGAGCAAATTATACTTTTCATATGTATTATCTGTATTATCTGCGAGACATCGCCACAACGCAACGAGTCAAAATTCTCCGCTATGTCCACTGCAAACAGCGCTCTGCATGTCTGCATGTCAGACTGTTCCACTGTCTGTGTGTGTCTGTCAACACTTTGGTCCAATCACATTCAGCATCCCGTCAGCGTTTTATTCCCCCACGAAAAATGCGTGTGTCGTCTCTTTCGACCTGTCTGAGACAGAGCGAGAGTTTAAAAAAAATAAAGTCTGAGCGAGAGTTGACAGCTCATCTCGTTGCACCTGTACTGTAGCTAGCAGCATAGTTTCACCTGTACTGTAGCTAGTAGCCTAGTTTCACCTGTACTGTAGCTAGCAGCCTAGTTTCACCTGTACTGTAGCTAGTAGCCTAGTTTCACCTGTACTGTAGCTAGCAGCCTAGTTTCACCTGTACTGTAGCTAGCAGCCTAGTTTCACCTGTACTGTAGCTAGCAGCCTAGTTTCACCTGTATTGTAGCTAGTAGCCTAGTTGCACCTGTACTGTAGCTAGTAGCCTAGTTTCACCTGTACTGTAGCTAGCAGCCTAGTTGCACCTGTACTGTAGCTAGTAGCCTAGTTTCACCTGTACTGTAGCTAGTAGCCTAGTTTCACCTGTACTGTAGCTAGCAGCCTAGTTTCACCTGTACTGTAGCTAGCAGCCTAGTTTCACCTGTACTGTAGCTAGTAGCCTAGTTGCACCTGTACTGTAGCTAGTAGCCTAGTTTCACCTGTACTGTAGCTAGTAGCCTAGTTTCACCTGTACTGTAGCTAGTAGCCTAGTTTCATCTGTACTGTAGCTAGTAGCCTAGTTTCATCTGTACTGTAGCTAGCAGCCTAGTTTCACCTGTACTGTAGCTAGTAGCCTAGTTGCACCTGTACTGTAGCTAGTAGCCTAGTTTCACCTGTACTGTAGCTAGCAGCCTAGTTTCACCTGTACTGTAGCTAGCAGCCTAGTTTCACCTGTACTGTAGCTAGCAGCCTAGTTGCACCTGTACTGTAGCTAGTAGCCTAGTTTCACCTGTACTGTAGCTAGTAGCCTAGTTTCACCTGTACTGTAGCTAGTAGCCTAGTTTCACCTGTACTGTAGCTAGTAGCCTAGTTTCATCTGTACTGTAGCTAGCAGCCTAGTTTCACCTGTACTGTAGCTAGCAGCCTAGTTGCACCTGTACTGTAGCTAGCAGCCTAGTTGCACCTGTACTGTAGCTAGCAGCCTAGTTTCATCTGTACTGTCGCTAGCAGCCTAGTTTCACCTGTACTGTAGCTAGCAGCCTAGTTTCACCAGCAGGCAGCTATTAGAAGCATGTTGAAAATCGGCAATTCAAAGATGAATGGACTGAAAAATATGCGTTCATCCTCCCTCCAGCGAGCACCAAACCAATGTTTCTAATATGCCAAGAAACGGTAGCTCTTGTGAAGAGTGGCAATTTGAAACGGAACTATGAAACAAAACACAATGATTTTGAAGCGACCTTTCCTCAAAATTCAGCGGTAAGAACCAACAAAATAAATGGGAGGAAATCATCATATCAAGCTGCAAGCAGGATCCTTGTTACATCTATGTCACGACGAGAAAAGGCAACTGAGTCCTCACTCAGAGTGACATGGGTGTTGAAGCCATTCTCTGATGCAGAAATAATAAAAGAATGCATGACTGAAGTGATGAAGGCAAACAAAAAGAGGAAATAACAGGTCAAATCAAGCAAATCCCTCTCAGATTCCACAGCAACCAGAAGAACATAAATACTGGCTGGTGATTTGATTAATCAGCTTTGTGATGGAATAAAAAATGCACAGTGCATTTCCTTAGCTGTGGATGAGTCCACTGACACCACTGACAATGCTCAGTTGCTGGTGTTTGTGAGTTTTTATGATGAGTCAAAGGGGGAGTTTGTTGAAGATGTGTTGGGCCTGACGAACCTCAGTGGACACACAAGGGGGCAAGACATTTATAAAGCAATAATGGGAATGCTGAATGAAAGAGGGTGCAGCTGCCTTTATTCATAACTGTGCAGCTCACACTGCGACTGAGGGATCAAGCACAGACACAATAACAATGAAAACTGCTGCATACAGATTATTTGTGTTTTTGCAACCTTGTGTTAAGAATCTTGTTGCAATTGTTTAAAAGTTTGAATGACCGTAATAAACTGACCTTTGTCTTATTGAAAATGTTCTTTGGACTTTTAAGATTTGTATTTGAGAACCCCTGGTCTAGGGGTATGGTCTAGGGGTAGTGTGCTGGGGTAAGGTGTAGGGGTAGGGTCTAGGGCAGTGCTTCTCAAAGTGTGGTCCGTGAGCGCCCCCTAGTGGTCCGTGAGTATATTGGTACAATTTCACATTTGAAATAAATAAATACATTTAAGTTTTCCGCACTCTCGCGGGAATATCTCCGCAATGGAGCGAGCTTAAGTTTATTATTGATTGCATGATATAGCCCAGTGCAACACCTTCATCACACATGTTGCCACTTGTTTGTACCATTTTCAGGCGATTTGTAATCTGTTCTAGAGAAATTATGTGTTTTTGGATTTTTGTGGAGTTAGGTGGTCTGCAAGTGTTTTTCTATTGGTCTATTGGTCCTTGGTATGAAAAAGTTTGAGAAACACTGGTCTAGGGGTAGTGTGTAGGGGTAGTGTGTAGGGGTAGTGTGTAGGGGTAGTGTGTAGTGGTAGGGTGTAGGGGTAGTGTGTAGGGGTAATGTGTAGGGGTAGTGTGTGGGGGTAGTGTGTAGGGGTAGTGTGTAGGGGTAGTGTGTAGGTGTAGGGGTAGTGTGTAGTGGTAGGGTGTAGGGGTAGTGTGTAGGGGTAGTGTGTAGGGGTAGTGTGTAGGGGTAGTGTGTAGGGGTAGTGTGTAGGGGGGACGGTTTGGAATTGGGCCATTATGTGAGAGCGCTGACCTGGAAGTGGATCCATCCGTCCAGAGTGATGAGTCTCTCTCGGTGCTGGATGTCGATGTCTCCTCCGAACAGCAGCAGAGGGAACGGGGGGATCAGAGTCGTGTCTCTCAGGTAGATCTTGGTGTATTTCACCTGAGGACCAACATTTCATTTTGTCTTAATGTACATTATTTAATTTCATATTCTGTTATTGTACATATCATATTCTATTTACATGTATACAGAGGAGGGAAGTAGTGGAGTACAAATACTTGGTTTCTGTACTTAAGTACATGTTTCTGGTATCAGTACTTTACTCCACTACTTATTTTTCTGACGACTTTTTACTTTGACTTCTCAGGTCAGAAGAATGTCATTGCCATTTCTACACTACACTATTTGTTGTTGTATATTCTCAAATGTATCGTCTGTCACTACATCTTGACCCTGGGATGTGTACCTTCTCCTGGTAGAGCAGCCAGCCGTGTGTCTGCAGGTTTCTGTTCACAGAGGAGGGGTGGACCTGAGCTCTTCTCTGGGGGGTTTCCGTGTTGCACACCGCCCGCTCCAGCACGTCCACGGATGGAATGACCAGCACGCGGGCCACGCTGTCGTACAAACCGGCCGCCAGCACCGCGTTCAGAACCGAGATCTGAGGCTTAGAGAGCGCTGGAGCCTGCAGTCTGGAGCGAGGGGAGTAGAAACCCACCTGCTCCATCATCCTCATCAACTCCTGCTGCACCCCCTGCAGGAAGAGGAGATATTACAGTGTGTGTGTGTGTGTGTGTGTGTGTGTGTGTGTGTGTGTGTGTGTGTGTGTGTGTGTGTGTGTGTGTGTGTGTGTGTGTGTGTGTGTGTGTGTGTGTGTGTGTGTGTGTGGCTGTATGAGGAAGGGAGGAAGTCAGTTGAACAGTGTGATGTTCAGGAGGATATTGAACACTTCGTAAACCTCAGGCGAGTCGACGACAAACCTCCAGGTAATCAAAACATAACACTGTTAAAATATTGCTACAGATATAATT